AACCCAGCCCTGACTTTCTTCCTGTAAATTGTGTTGAAACTGAAATGCTGTTGTAGTTGTATTTGGCTGGGTTGCCAAGGAATACCACAGTATTGCCTTGGAACATATTTTCTTGAGAAGTCTCAGAGGTAGGTATGTAGTCAGAAAATAAAGCAAGGCAAAGCATTTTATACTTATTCACAGTATTCTGGCTCCAGGATCCAGTATAAAGCTCTTGTAAGCCAGGCCAGACCTCAAAGATCTCTAGGCTGAGTGATGAATGTTCTAGAACAAAGCGGGCCATGGAGTCTTCCTATCAACTACAACTGTCGCACAGAAAGCTGAATTTCCTTAGGTTCTAACACTGATTTCATGGAAGACCCCAGCGGCCTTGGAAAACCTCAAAAGAGCTTTGCTTCCAGGTCCTGAAGACAAGCCTATGCACACACTGGAGAGGAGTCTGTAGAGGAGCCCGGGGGTCACTCTTTCTGACTAGGTGGAAGAGAAAAGAGATTTTATCCACATGGACTGGGCCATCGGCTCCCTTGAGGCTGACACTATCCTTCTAAAATTCTTTTTTGTTTGTTGGTTGCTTGTTTCTTTTTTGTGGTACCAGGGATCCAACTCATGACCTTGTACTTGCCAGGCAAGCACTTATGCTGCTGAGCTAAATCCCCAGCCTCCTTCTAAAATTCCTGAAGACCTAGTCTCCATTATTTGACTCCTGTTCTCTCTGAACTCTTGCAGTTGTCTTTTACCCCAGGTATTTTCTGCCAATATAACAAATACCTGAGATAACCAACTTACAAAGTGAAAAGGTTTATTTTTGCCTTGCTGTTTTAAAGGCATCAGCCCATGCTTAGCTGGCCTTACTGCTTTGGGCCTGTAAAGGGGGAAGAGGTGAGGATACCGTAATCCCCTTTGAGGACACACCCCTGTTGACCCCAAGTCCACTTCTGTAAGTTTCCACCACCTCCCAGTAGTGCCATCCAAAAGCCTCAAAGCTCAGCACAGAGGTTGGGGGGCCCTGAAGATCCGAACTGTATCACTCATCACTTAACAGAAACCGTCTTCTGACAAATCAGTGAGGACTGAGCAGTCAGTAACAGCCCTGCTGTTGGTCTGCTTTCTCCTTCACAGGAGAATAACAGGGCCGACTCCTCCCTTTTTTTGAAGTACCATTCTCTTGTTATTTAAGGTACTTGGGATAAAAAGATAGGTACAACACGAGCGGTCCTCTTAAAGTATTTATAGTTTGGTTGGAAAGACAGATTTTTGAAGTTATTTTAATGAGCTCTCACTTAGCCTCACCATCCATTTTCAGCTCCATGAAAATGACTCTATAAGTATGTATTTCCAGCTTCCTCTCTCGTTAGCTTCGTTTTTACCTTTTTAGCAATCTGCTAAACATCACTTTCAAACTCAGTTTTAATGTCATTTCCCCTGCTGAAATCTGCGTCCCTATCAGTGGTAGAGCTTTTCCCCCACATGATCTAGACTACACTTCAGTGTCATCTTTGAGTCTCTGCTTCTATTTATCCAGTCATGGAATAAATTCCTTCTGTACACAGTACACAGCCCAGCACCTGCATATTCTTTTGGGGGCACTTCTCTGGAAATGTTACTCTGCTGACATGGGCAGGCACTAAGATCCACAGTCAAACTGACTTTTCTAATACCCACTTTTCTTCCATCGAATTGAACTTGCTGCTTCGTATGGGTACCTCCCACTTTACTGCATTCCTGCCTGCAATACTGCTGTCCCTCTGCAGGGCCACATTCCCTTTACTTCAAAGCCTGGTACATTGTTCATCTACTTGTGCTCTGGGGTCATCCATCTTCAAGTGCATCTTTATCTGTCTTGCAGCATTTGGGACTTTTGTTTCTATGTTTTAATTGTAGTTATATATATATATATATATATATATCATAAAATTCATCATTTAAAGTATACAGTTCAGTGGAATTCAGTGCTGTCACCATGTTGCATGACAGTCACTATCTAGTTCCATAATATTTTCATTACTCCAAAAGGAAACCCTGTGCCCACTGAGCAGTTGCTGCTTGCTTTTCCCTGCCTCCCAGCCTCTGGCAGCCCCCAAGGGCTTTCTGTTTCTAAGAGCTTTCCTATTCTGCATATTTTACGTAAATGAAATCATAAAATAAGAAACAGATTTGCTAATTATCAACATTTTGTGTTTTCAGACATGTCTCAGTATTGTTGGTAAGGTACTTGTGATCTGATTTATCTTTGTGTTTTACTCAGACCTAAGCACAAATGCCTGAATGAAACACCATCTCTGTGGAACAAGGAATAAGGATTAATATATACTTTTTCACCTGACCCCAAAATAAAACGTTTATTGTTTAATTTTATATAGTATTTTAAGAAAAAAATCAAAATACTTTCTAGTCCTTTCAGACTCAAGGGGGAAAAATCAGTGGTTGATGTTCCTCTGATGCCACAGATTTTCTCCTTCTGTAATTTGTAACCTGGCAAGGCTAAGAAAAACCCATGCACTGTACTTAATATCCCACATGCTGGGGGTTTTTGGTTTCTTTGGCTTTCATTACTGCTAGGGATTGAACCCCAGGCCTTAGTACATGCCAGGCAAGCACTCTACTACTGAGCTACATTCCCAGTGCTTTTCTAAGATATTTTTAGTAATGCCATGGTGACCCACAGTGTTGCTGCCTAATGCTAGGTTTGTATAGTTTCATAGCATGAGAAAGTTGGGAATTCTAGCATTAATGGGAAAAAAGTAGTAAGGACATCTATTATTATCATTCTGATGAACTCAGATGTATTAAATATATGCTTCCCATGAGAAAGAAAAGAGGAGCTCTGTTAACGTAGTTTTTTTATAGCATGTGTGGGTCCTGCAGTGTTTTAGAAAAATGTCACTCAATAAGCAAATAGGCAGCAAAGTTAACAGTGACTCCCTAATGGGATAAATACCATAAAAAAATAAAGCATCACAGGTGCTGAGGTGGCTAGGGCCAGGGAGTGTAAATGCAGTCGAATGAATAGGCGGTGTGTTGGAATGAATAGCAGGTTATGAAGGAACCACACAGATCTAAGAGGGGCATGTTTCAGGCAGAGGAGCCATGCCCACCTTCTAAAGCCGTGTTGATATAGGGGAACAAAACTCCCAACCTTCTAGGTGTCCAGTGTTCTTGAAAGTCAAAGAATCAATTTTAGGAATAGTGGAGGTTAGCAGCAGAATATATTAATTGAGAGAAAGAAAGCTTGTGTCTGAGAGAGAGACAGAAGGGGTCCCGAATGGGTTGCCAAAGACTCTTTTCCAGGGATTTTTAATAAAGTAACATTATAAAGTGAAGCAGGTCTAAGGTGGGGTGAACATGGGAACTTGCAAGGTGGGCATGGGGTAGGACAGAACTATGGTCAACCTAAGATGAATTGCTCAGGTAAAATTGATTAAATCAGGAACAAATGGGGAAGGGAGTGATGTAGCAAGTTGGCATGAATACAGAGCAGTGACTTTTCCCATAGGGGGTTAGGATGGCGACTCCTGGCTTCCTCAGGGTGATAAAGACCAATTTAGAATATCAGTCCTTAGGATATGGGTGCATTTGCTTGATCTTGTCTTGAGATCTGGCCTACAGCAGGAGGTGTCTGTCTCCCCCACAGTTGCAAGGTATCTGGTCTTCTGCACTGGCTCTTTCAAGTGCCCAGCCCTGTCTGACGGCCCATAATATTTCTGTTTAACTTAGTTGCCTGTAACCCTGTCGTTGCACTTGAACTCCAGACCTTTTACAAGCTACTCTTTGACCCCTGTCTACTGTCCCAGCTACCTTTAATGTCTGTTTTCATGACTCAGTGCCGTTGCATTATTTCCTCTGTCTAGAGCTCCTGTCTTGATCTTTATCTTCCTTGAGGGAAATCACACTTCACAGTCCAAGTGAAAAGTGAAATAAGAACCATGCTCCCGTCCCCATCTCCGCCCCTGTGAGAAGAGCTAGTCTCTGGCTTTATTGCCTCCTTTGTGTCTTTTCTATTTTTACTGCCCTTAATTAATTTAAATTGTAGGTGATTTGTTTAAAATTCTCCTCTGTCAGGTCTTTAAGAACAAGGACTGGAGCTTGATCATCTCGGTAGTATCAGTGCCTAGAACTTTGCCTGGGACAGGAGGGGTGCCAAATGACTAGTAAATGCTTGGGTGAATGAGGGAACGAGGGATGGGGAGAGGGAGCAACAGAAAGAAGAAAAAAGGAAGGCAGCGAATGCATGTAAAAATCTTTTTTCTTTCTTTTTAAAGGAATGGAGCACGTTAAGAAAAAGATACCAGAACTAAAGTAAACTGAGATGACTTTAAAATAATTCCAGAGATGTTTCCCTACATTTAGCTAAAAACCAAGTGATCACTATGGTCATTGAGATTCTGATTAAGTCACAATCAACCTGAAAGCTCACCTATATTTCTAGGGTGGTAACCTTCTGAAAGTAGGAGTGGCTTGGGTTTGTTCTTTAAGTCTGTGTGTTTTTGATGTTCTGGCATATTGGTGGGTTAGATTACAAGAATGCAAGCCTACATCTACTTTCTGTATAACCACATCCCTTGTTCAACAGCCTTGGCTGGGAAATAGTACTCTGTACCAAAAACAAGAAGCTTAACAATTTGCTGTCTTCTTTCCAAGCAACATTCACAACTTTTATAGGTCGAGGTCATAGTTTTAAACTTCATGAAACATTATTGTTAGATTGGTAGGTAGGAAGGAAATGTTTAATTAAACGCCTGTGGCCTCCAATTGCTAGCAGAATTCTGCATTTGGAGGTATTTTAGTATTCTGTGTTTATTGGCTAGGAGGAAGAAACAAGTCTTTATTTATATTGTTACTTTGTAAAAATCATTGCTAGATGGGACCAAAGTCCTCATGACAGTATTTAACAGTCTTTTAGTGTTTTCTTGGGTGTTTTTTTTAATACTAGTAAACCAACTCTCACAAATTCCCTGTGGATTGTAGTAATGCATTCTGGAATTCAATTCCTTTTATTATTATGTGATTTGAATTTCAGAAAGGAACTGCAGTAATCCCAAAGTAAACACTTTACATATGTGAGGATTCAGAATTGGTAGGCCTTTTGTTGAGCTAATCACAGATGAAAATGGTAAAATCATATGCCCAAAGAACAGCTGGACTCCACAGAGAAGCAAGGTTTTGCATTAGAGGAAAAGAATGTTGCTCTGAATCTGAGCAGTCAGAAAGTGGAAAAAAAGCATCAAAAGGATAAAACTCACTCACTGGGGTTAGAAGTTACGAGAAAATTTGACCTGACGGGAGTCCCAGAGGAGAGAAACAGATTTTCTGGTTAGTTATTCCAATAAGCATAGTTGAAAAATTATACCAGAAAAATTCCTAAATTATAAGTAAGAACATTAGTGAAACATTATGCATTTTGTAGTCGGTCTTAAAAGCAAGAGGCAACTGTGTAAAACCACTATAGGGCTAGGATTTAAGAGACTTTCTTCAGAAAGAAAAAGGAGGAGTGCAGTCTTGTAGTAGAGCACTTGCCCAGCATGCAGAGATCCCAGCTGTCTCTCCAGCATGGTGGAGGTGGTGGTGGGTAAAAATGTATGAGACTGGGAGACTTAATAAATTTAAGACTTTTCCCCATCAACTGAAACCAAAGCTAAATTAAAAAAATCAAAAGCCTAATAATGTTTTAATCTAGATTCAAAACTACCTTATGAAAGCAGCACATTCTGAAACTCTTGAAAGATGCCACATGATTTTGTCAAAGAAGTAATTTGACAAACTATTTTTAACTGCAAAAATACTGAAGTGCAGCATTAACTGTTAATAATTAATCTCTTCCTCACTGAACCATTCGTCCTTACAGTTCTTTGAAACACTTTACTGCTATATTAGCAAATATTTATTGTCTCTCAGAGGTCTTTGGGAAATGTTTTTTAAACTTCTGTAGTAACCAGTGAAACATCAGAAGGACAGCAGCTGTGGCATTGCTCACCGTGGTCAGCGAAGTTTGGAGAGAAGGTGATCCTACCATGTCTCTGGATTCTTCTTTGCTGAGTAAGCATGTCTGGGTAGATGGTTTTTAGGTTGTTTACCAGTGCAGTTACTCACCTCTACCAGCAGTGTAGGGCATCTTGTTAATACTACAGGGATGGACTGGGATGTAGATTAATGGTAGACTATTTACCTACCATGTGTGGGACCCTAAGTTCACGATGGATAAACCACACAGTCTGAGTGGATAGTAATGGCAAGGAACTTGGTGCTGTGGGTGGCGGAAGATCTCAGAGGAGGTCACATTGAACCTACTGTTTTGGTAGAGATGCAGCCATTTTCTAGGTGCTGAAGACATTTCATGCAGAGGCCCATCTTACTACAGTCATGACAGTGGACCTGAGACATGAAAGTCATATCAAACAACACCTCCCCACAAGGTATCATGGAGCGGCGGTATTTTCATTGGTGACCTTAACATGTGCGCTAAAGGGGTCATGGTAATTATTAAAGCAGTATTTACAAGTTTTTGACCATATAATTTTCCTTATTGTTATAGTTTTACTTCTTAATTTAGATCAGCCATTTACCTATAATTATTACCTGAAAGACACTGAATTAAACCTCTTCCACTGGCTGAATTTTTCTCAATTATAATATGTACAATATATCCAGGTGGTTAAGAGCCTTAATCTAGTTAAAGTGATTTTAAAAGTATTGTACACCTATTTCTTGAAAGTTGACCACAGTTTATACTCAAAACACGTATTGCAACTTTTAACTTCTTTAAATTTGCCTTCAATTTTTAATTCTTAATCTCTAAATTATTTTTATATAATTTCAAGTGTTAAAATAAATTTTATGATTTAATTTCATCTTTCTCTATTCAGCAACATATAAAATTAATTTCATCTTCATTCATTTAAAAAACTTACTGATAGTTGGTTACATATTTTCTTGGAGTTTTGTTCACTTGGTGCCTTCTCTTTGCATATATTTAGTTAACCCTCTTCTCATTTTTCCAAAGAAAAATTCCTCCATTTTTTTCCCTGAAAAATACAAAAATACATAAATAGGCATTTTTTTAGGTTTAATTTTTTTTTTTTTTGTCTTTTTCCTTTTTTTATCCATTCCGGGGATCGAACTCACGACTGCCTGCTTGCAAGGTAGGCACTTATGCCGCTGAGCTAAATCCCCAGCTCCAGTTATTTTAGGTTTAATTATTGCATACATGGTCCAATTGTGGGGATAAATGATGGATAGTAACATTTTTCCCAAGGCCTTCTTCATGTGAGTACCTTTCAGATGCTTATGGCTCAGCAATTCCCACCTAACTCAAGAAGGTGGGTTAAAGACATCTGAGTGAGGATGTGAAACACGGAACATTCTGTGCCTACACTTACACAGTCACATCTTACAGATGATTTAAGGAATAATACATCTCACTTTGAGGTATAAAGTAGAAATATGCGTCTTTCAGAGACTGGCATTTTGACATTTATCTTTTAGATCATGGTAGTAGAAATAGGGATTCCAAAATCCATCATATACCCAATAAACCCATTTTTTTAAAAATGTGTAGGAAGTTGTTGTTTTTTTTTTGTTTTTTTTGTCTTTTTCCTTTTTATCGGTACCGGGGATTGAACTCACGACTGCCTGCTTGCAAGGCAGGCGCTTATGCTGCTGAGCTAAATCCCCAACCCCAATAAACCCACTTTTTAAATATAGCAACATCTAATATTGGCAGACTTTTCTTAAAGCATTTTTTACCTTGTATATGGATTTAAAGTATGTTAATATCTTTCTTTTAATACTGAAATTTCTGGTGAAATATTTATTCCTATCTATATTCATTGTGATTTCCTATTTTCTGTTTTATACTGATTTTTTTTCTCAATAAAGATTAAAAGTACATTTTAAAAAAATTGTATCCCAGGTCTCCATCTCAGTAATTGGTTATATATTATCATTTACAGTAGGATGTGTGTAAGCCAGTTTATTCCAGTAGCCTTGTGAATAAAGAAATGTTACAGAATTAAGAATAACAAGGATGTTATTTTTTTATTTAAAAGGAAAAAGAGAACAAAACAAAGCAAAACAGTATAAGGGTACAAGTAATACAGAACTACAAAAAGAAAAACAGTAAGAAATCCCCATTCAATAGATTACACATTATCATCTTAGAGATAGTTGTTCAAGTCACAGGATTAAAGCATACAAAGTGGACATTCAAACAGTGAGACTGCAAACAGTTGGGTTCAGTGATCCAATCAAAAACATTAATATGGTCATCTATTTAACACACCTAAACACACTTGGAATTGTATCCTTTAGAACACTTTCTTTCCCTCACTTTTTTTTTTTAACAAGGATGTTATTTTACAGATCCTCTTCTGATTTCAGGAAAACTACTTCTTTAATGCAATAATTGTATCTAGTAAGTTTTTTCTATTTCTAAACAAAATAAAAAAAAATGAGATCATAGGAAACTTATAGTTTACTAGACATTATGTGCTTTTCCTAATTTGTCACTTGTATTATTTGAAAAGCAAGAGTAAATTAAACACTTCCAAATGTATACTTTAATAAGTATGAAGTATATAAACAATTAAGTAGGCTTGTGAAGAAGCTGACCAAGATACATAAATTAGAAGATCTAAGTATTCATCTAAATTTTCTGTATTATTTTGCAGAATATTTATTAAGGTTGGTTAATATATAATTTCTCATGTCATTTTGGAAGTCTTTTGCTGGAAAGATCATTCTGTTGTCTGATGACAAAGAGAAATCACAATCATTAATCTGGACCTCCATGCTGAATAAACTCCATTTCTTCTTGGGATATTAATTTCCTTCTGTACTTCTTAGGTAGCATTTTTATTATTTCTGCAGGGTGGACCTGGGCGCACCAGCAACTCTGGTGATTTACTCCCCTTAGAATGCTGTGAAATCACAGAAGAGTTAGATGGGATCCCTGCCGATCTCAAAGCTTCTGATACACCAGGTTTAGGATTGTCTCTTCTGTCAGAGAACCTTATCAATGGTATGGCTTGACTACCTGGATGACTGGGTTGGCAGATGCCATCCTGCAGCCCATCGTGGTCCTGGGAATGGGCAGCTTCTGGGGCGTGAGCACCCTGCCAACATGTTAATATCTTATTTTTGACAGAGACCTATACCTGCTAGGTATAATCTCGACCACTGAGCCACACCCCCAGTCCTTATTATTATTGCTTTCTGAATTTACAGTATGATTTTTGAGTATTTCTTGATAATAGTCTACTCCTGTGTTGCTCAGAGTGTGGCCCCTGTACCAGTAGAGTGGACATTTGTCACTAAGGTGCTGATGAGAAAGTCGGTCTCATCATTGCTGCCTTCCACAACTGAATCAGAATCTGTTTTTTAACAAGATGATGTGGTGATTCATGTACGCATTAAATTTGAGGACACTGGTCTGAACTTGCTATTTCTACCTCGTAGCCTCCCACTTGTATTCTTCAATTCATTGTTTTTATCTGCCAACCTTGTGAAAGATGCTATGACCTATTAATAGCCGAATGTGGACAGTACTTCTCAACCTTTGTGATACATTTCCAGCATGTACTGTCTTGAGGGTTAATCATTCTGTGGCTTACATTCAGGGTTGCACATTGAAAGTATTTCTACCTGGTTTCGCCCTAGAAAGTTCTTTTTTGATCACTGGCTTCCTATACATTCTTGGGCCAGAGTATACCCAGACAGCAACCAGGCTAACAGGAAGAGAAACCTTGTTGCCTTCAGAGTGACTGGCGTTGTTAGAACCTGGAGAAGAATGTGACAGAAGCACAAGACAATTGTTCTTAAATATCTGAAGGTTTCTAGAGGAAGAGCAATTTGGTTTTTTCATGTAGCTTTACAAAGGTAGAAATAAAAGTAATGAATGAGTACAAACTTAGAGACAGATTTTGTAATTATATTAATTTAAAAACAATTTGAATATTTCAACAATGAAGTACAGTTCTTTCAACTTAAAGCATAGAAGATGTTGAATCAAGGACCACTAGGAACCTTGTAGAAAAGGCTAGGTGATCTAGATTTTTTCAAACTTCTAATCCTCACTGCTTTTTTGATGCAAAAAGGGGAAGAAATATTATTGTACACATTCAGATTATTTCTTTCATTAGACCCTAATTACACATAAATTTTGTGGCCCTTTCTTGAGTATTAGGACCCTGCATTTTTTTTTTTTTCCTGTGTGGATGGGTGATATCTTTCAGTGTGTGCCACTTTCCATTGTGTATCCAGCAACTGGTCATTGTATATCTAGGCACTCGTTCAGTGTCTGACTGGTCATTTTAATCGAAGGAGATAAATATCTCCATGAAACAATACTGGTCATTTTAATCTAAGGGAGAGATATCTCCACGAAGCAATACTTAGAAACAACTACATTCTTTTTTTTTTTTTTTTTTTTTTTTTATTGGTACCAGGGATTGAACTCATGACTGCCTGCTTCCAAAGCAGGCGCTTATGCAGCTGAGCTAAATCCCCAGCCCCAAACCACTTTACTTTCGTTTCCTCGAGGCACTGGCCTGGGGAGTGCTTTTCTTTTCTTTTCTTTTCTTTTTTTTTTTTTGTCTTTTTCATTTTTGTCGGTACCGAGGATCGAACTCACGACTGCCTGCTTGCGAGACAGGTGCTTATGCCGCTGAGCTAAATCTCCAGCCCTGAAACACCTACATTTTTTAACATAGTTGTAACAGCTCATAGTCAGATATTTTCTTATTATAGTTTAGGTGATGTTCTATATGTATCATTTTTTCATAGTCCTAGAGATGAACATACTTGTATTTTCCTGCCAACTCCAAATTTTTGCTGTTTCTTATATTTGATTCCCTCGTGCCTAGTTTTAAATTCCATAGACCTAGAAAAAACTGATATTGAATGTTAAACCATTAACCTTACGTGTTTACCATTGTTGATAGTTGTTCATTGGGAAAGTCAAGAATTAAGATTGTAAATCATTTTAAGTATGTAACAATCCTCCCAAATGCATCTTGCACCTATTTATATCTTTCAGTCAT